CAGTCCAGTGATTCTCAAATATAAATACACATCAGAATCACATAGAATTATAAGATATCCAGGTACCAGATGGATCCATCTACTAAATCAGAATTTTAAGCATGTGTATTTTCAAAGGCAACCCCCTGGTTAAGAGCAATTGTGTACAACTCTTTGATTTTATTGAAGAAACCGATAATCAAACTAAAAAGTCTAATAAGAAGTACTTGTTATGTATATTCTGGCATTTAAATAAAATGGAAAACTACATTGTTCTTAAATTAATAAAATAGTGCCAAATACAGTGGACAGTGACTGTTCTATCAGTTTATTTTATGGTTCCAATAAGTTGTGACTTGTAGTAAATCATAGAACAAATCCATATCATTGTCAATCTCCAAATCTTCTCTCTAGCCTTTTGTTACTCAAAACTTACACGATATTTAACCTAATCGCTTTTGAAAAATGAATAATAAAAATTCTCTTTTTTGGAGGTTTACTATTTCAGATAACATTCTACAGGACCCACAACTTAAAAGCAATACTAATATACAACACAGCCATAGTAGAGATTAAACATAAGAGCTAAAACATTTGAGAATTGATACATTTTTTCATCTTCCTTTATAACATAAGTTATTGAGAATAAAATTGTCACTTTCTTCTTTGGCCACAAAAATGATTTTTTTTTTCTCCATCAAGAAGTATTAGGCAGTTTGGTGTGTTTGAAAAATTCTAGAGCTCCCAAGCTCTGACACTAAGTCAGAGTCTCTGCTACTCTCCATCAAGTGAGATTAAGCAAATCTTTATGGAGAGGGAGGGCATGAAAGAAATAAAGGGTTTTGTATTTGGCCAGAGAACAGTTAGACGGATTCCACACTGATGGAGGGTTTGTAATCCTAGAGAGAGAGCAGAACCAGAGGTTTTACTGGTTCCCATTGGATATGTTTAAGGGGCAACTGGGACCTGACTACTAATTAGCTAAGCACCATGCCCTTGAGGGATGCAGAGAAGGTCCTGGGAGCCAAATCTGGTATGAAAGGATTGGAATCATTTGGCAAATTAACTCATATTTGAAAGGAGCATGGGGATGACAAAATGGGCATGTCAGTAGCAGCCAAGATGAACTAAGGGGCAGAAGTTACTCCCTCATGATCCTCTGTGTTTACTCTCCAATCCCAAAGGGAGGAGATAGGCAATTTCAAATGACAAATGTGGATTTTTCAAACATATGGTGGTGAAGGTAAAGGCAGTTTTATTTTTCACTAGAAAACACATAAATTCAGTTTGGATTTTGCACTGGAGTGTTTGGCAGAAAATGTATATCTGTAGTGTACTAGCATATATAGTATGTGTAAATAAAAACTTTGTCCTTTCCAGGTTTGTTCTACTGCACTAGTTTTGCTTCTTCACTGTAATCAAAATTAAGCATTCATTATTCATGTAAGATACAGAGGAAAATGAACGTAAAATGAGGGGGAAAATACTTGAATAATTTGATCATACATATTTAAATAACCACAAAGAAATACTTATTCTCAAATATAACTTAGAAAGTTACATGAGAAAATAAATCCTATTCTACCCATTCTTAACATTTGTGTCTTATTATGTGTTGAGCATTCAAGTGTTTTCTTTTTTCTCTCATTGATTTTTTAGGTTTACTGAACCATAAAGAAGGGAAAGAAGAAAACTGGCTCATTGTTACAAAATACTTCTCATCCTGGTTTCAAAGTCTTCTGATTTTCTGCTTTTTATCTAAACTCATAGTCATGATGCTACATGTAATCGTAAAGAAATGCTCCAAATGTAAAAATGCTAATTTAAAGCTACACCCATACCGAATTCAAAGAAGAAGCAAGCCTAATGTCAGTGGCATTGCCTGGGTGGGTTTGGAAAGGTCTGCTCATAAAAAAAACAAAACAAAACACAAACAAACAAACAAAAACAGGCTGATGACTCTTACAGCCAAATGTTAGTGCCTTATAGGTTGAATAAGGTCATCTTTCTGTTTATCATAATTATTAAATATTTTACAGAAACATCACCCTCCATGGCTTTCTTTTTCTTTTATACTCCAAAGCCTTCAGCATTTCATGGTTTGTCTTTTCCAATATGTTGGTGAAAGATAGCAAATATGAATCTCAAATTGGACTTTTTTTTCTTCTTCTTTTTTTTTTTTTTTTTTTTTTATTGATTGAGAAAGAGAGAGAGAGAACAAGAAGAGCCTGAGCAGGGGAGGGACACAGGAAGAAGAAGAGAGAGAAGCCCAAGCAGACTCCACACCTAGCAAAAAGCCCCACACAGGGGATTCCATCCCACAACTATGAGATCACAACCTGAGCTGAAATTGAGTTGGGCGCTCAACCAACTGAGCCACCAAGGTGCCCCTGGACCTTGCTTTATTTCAATTATTATTATATTTTTTTAGCCAGGATTTATTTAAAAATTTTGAGTTTTTAGCTCTTTCTGCTTTTTTTCCCATTTGTTATTATAATATATAATGTATTACTTTTTAATTATATAGTATTTATCCTACACAAAAATCCAATATTTAATATAATATTGGTGTAATAGTTAACTTGGCAGACTTGAACTCAAAGGAAAGACTGACCTTTTAACTGGGTCCTGGAAGATAACCTCTGAGCATTGGAATATTCTGCCTGAGAACAGTGTCCTTGACACCTAATGACATAATATATGTACACATTGTGAAATGCTTACTACAGTAAGGTTAATTAACACATCCTTCATGCCACATAGTCACCTTGTGTGTGTGTGTGTGCACGTGGTGGTGTTGGTGAGTATGCTTTATATATACTCTCTTAGCATATTTCAAGTACGCCATACAGTATTAATTATAGTTATCATGCTGTACATCAGATCTTTTTAAAACTGATGGCTTATGCCCTTTGACCAGTGTCTCCATTTTCCCCCCAACTGCCAGCTGCTGTTAACCATCCTACTCACTGTTTCTGTGAGTCTCACTTTTTAAAAATTCTTATTTTTCTTTATTCTGATTATAACAATTTCTGGAAGTAGGTATTAAGACTTTAAACTATTACAAATCTAGAGTTAGTTTGAATAGCTGCTAACTGGCAATTTATAAAATGAGAGAAATACTGTACTTGGAAGTTCTATTCTTTGATATGATAGTTTCTAAAGCTGCAGTCCCTCTGTCAAATGATTGGCTTAGTATCAGACTGATAAGCTGTGGCAAAGTCAGGTCTAGTACTGGAGTCTCATAGTTATGGGTATGAAGTTCTTTCTACTAGAATAAATTTCTATTATTGCTGAAGTCATTGCTGAAATCCTAGCCTAAAATAAAGTTTAACTGCTATGGAAATTAAATGACTTACCTGCAAGTAAAAACAAACAAACAAACAAACAAACAAACAAACAAACAAACAAACTCTGACTCAAGCCATATTAAAAAATAATCCATAAGTGATCTCACATTATTAGATCCAAGGGATTTCATTCAGGAGTTCAACAACTGATCAAGCACCAGGTTTCTTATGTCTTTCAGCTCTGCCACCTTCATGGTCACTCATCATTTGGGAGCACCCTATTCTCTTCCATGGGCTATCAAAAGGGCAACAGTAATTACAAGTATAAAATCTAGATGTTATGGGGTGCCTGGGTGACTCAGTTGGTTAAGCATCCAAATCTTGATTTCAGCTCAGGTCATGATCTCATGGTCATGAGATCGAGACCCACGTGGGGCTCTGTGCTGAACATTGACCTGCTTGGGATTCTCTCTCTCCCTTTCTCTTTGCCCCTCCCCTGTTCACACATACTTTCTTTCTCAAAATAAATATACAAATAAACATTTTAAAAAAATCTAGATGTTAGGGGGCTAGAAGAGGTCACATCTACCTTTTACTTAACATCCTATACACAGGTAAGGAAGCCTTTTCTCAGACAGAATGCCACTCTTACCTTAGAGACCAGCATACAGTCACAGGGCCCACTGTTTCAGGATTCCCCCAAAGTGGGATGGGATTACTATGACTAAGACAAAGCATCTGATAGGAACAAAGACAAAGCAACAGGGCCATATACTTAATATATACTTAAATGGTATCTAGGTATCTGATGCACCATCCGTTTCTGGTCATGGCCATCTGAACATTAATTATAATTCTCCATTTGGATGCCTGCCTTATGGGAAAGAAACCACTTGCCACAAATTATCCTTTCACTGTAAAAATAAACAATGTCAGTACACTGATAGTCAAAATACATCAATGAAAATGAGTCTGTCTTTCAAAGCATTTTCTTCTAACTTCAACTATGGTAGTCCTTTGTGAAAATCAGCTTTGTTGCTAAAGGATAAACTATAAGCCTGTACTAGTATTGAAGCATTAACCTGTGTTGTATGTCATTTATTTTCTGAAGCCAGTCAGTGAAGCCACCTTGAGTAGATATTTTTTATGTCAGGCTTTCTGATAAATGAGAAGCCTGAAGGGATCCCATTGATTTGCCAACTGTGTCACAGTCCGTTTAAGGCAGAATGGCACATGCTTATGACAAAGGTGATGACAAATGGATATGTACTGAAGGGACAGCACCAACACAGATGAATGAAGGAGTTGATGGAAATATACAACACAAGATAGAAAGCAAAATGAAATTTAAGATTATAAATGTCAATGAAATATATAAAATACCTTGAATTATATAAAAGTAGGTACATATAAGACTAACATCATTTTTAGAATAATTCTGAAATTTAACAGAAATTCAGTATTACTAAGAATTGTAAATCCAAAGAATGAAACTGTTGCTTTATAATATTTACATCAACTATACATAGGAGTGGATAGAACACCTTTTTATTACTATTAAGTTAAAATAACATTGCTTGAATTTCTTTTTTCTAATCTTAATCAGCATATATATGTATACATATATATGTATATCTCAACATGACATATAGACAAATGCTAAATATATTTGTATGGGTTAATTTATGCTGCCCACATTAAGGTACATTAATAATATTCATGGATACTAACGAGATGCAGATCTTTGAAGGTAGAATTGTGCTCACAGGCATTCAAGATGCAGTCATCAGTGTCCTGTTCACATCTCAGGCCAGCAAAACCCGGTTTGCATAAGCAGGAGAAGCCATTAACCACTGAGAACAAGAGAGAAGAGAAAATAATATGTCTTTAATAATGGTATGGGTAATGCTAATCATTCTAAAGAATGTTGTATTAAACTAAATACATTTCACTTTTTTTTTTAATTTTTTTTTTCAACGTTTATTTATTTTTGGGACAGAGAGAGACAGAGCATGAACGGGGGAGGGGCAGAGAGAGAGGGAGACACAGAATCGGAAACAGGCTCCAGGCTCTGAGCCATCCGCCCAGAGCCTGACGCGGGGCTCGAACTCACAGACCGCGAGATCGTGACCTGGCTGAAGTCGGACGCTTAACCGACTGCGCCACCCAGGCGCCCCTACATTTCACTTTTAACCAAAGAAAATGTGAATTCACAGCTCTCTACAATATTTTCTAAGTAACTATTTTGCTCAGTTCTATTTAGCTTAAAACTTTAATTTGAAATTAGAACCATCACAATAAACATTTGATAAGTTCGCAAAGCAACAATGAAAATATCCAATTTTCTTCTTCTTTCTTCCTTCTCCTCCTCCTCTTCCTCCTCCTCCTTCTCCTCTTCTCCTTCTCCTCCTCCGCTTTTGTCGTCATCGTCGTTGTCGTCGTCGTCTTCTTCTTCTTCTTCTTCTTCTTCTTCTTCCTTCTCTCTGTCTCTCTGTCTCATCAGTAAACAATACCTATGATAAATAGGCTACTTTTACATCAATTAACTTTTCCTGGACTGTTTTAGGTTTAATACACAAGAAGTTAACTGGTCGTTAAAGTTTGTGTGTGTGTGTGTGTGTGTGTGTGTTTGTGTGTGACAAGTTACATTAAAGTGGGTATGTCTGAAAGTTGATATTCAACCACTTAAGCCTTAGTTAAAAAGAGCTTTCACATTTCATCATGATCTTTTAAAAGTAATAATCAGAATCCGTCCTCTATTTTATCATTAACGATAGAAAAAGAACGGTCTCGGAAGCATCTCAAGGAAGTGGTGACAGTATGAATTGCAGTTACAGCAGGCAAGGATTTATGGCTGCTTTTAGTCAGTCCCTGGGTTCTTCATTATTCCTGAGACTTAGCGTGTAATCTACACTGCCACTCTGCTTCTGTGCATGTATCTGCTATTGCTTTCATTAAGTGTTGAGGTCCTGGGTGGCAACAGCATTTTCAAGACATTGTGTGGTAGTTAGCTGGCTTCTAGACTTCTGTCTGCAGCCATGCTTTTGTACAGCACTTGTACCTGGGCCTTTAAAGAAAATCAGTCCACAGCTGTCAAGAAGAGACAAGGGAGACACAAGAACGGCAGCCCTCTGGAGAGGATTTTATTTTACTTTTCTCATGTAACATAGCATTCTAATTTTTAACATCTCACTGAATCAAAATAATTAATAAATATACAAGTAGAGTTGTAAATAAATTAATGAGAAAGATGAGATCAGTTACGCTTCCTTATATATTATAGATGGCATTATATATGTTAACAAATTAAAATTAAATGTTACATGTAATTAAGACATTGTAAAGTATCATCAATCATAATGGTATTTAAAAATGTTAATGATTATAAATTCAAGTCTGGATACTGATGCAAATTGGCAAGTGACAAAAAACCAGAGTCAAACTAACTTTCTGTGTAGATAGAAATATTCTCTATGCAGATTGATGAATTATTTTAAAAGAAAAACAACAACAATAGAGACATTTAAATTAGCAAATCTCTGTCTGAAAGAGATTATTGTTAGGAAATAAAGTTTGCTTTTATTATCAAGCAATACGCTTTCTGAATGTTGACTATTCTGGGCTAAGAAGCTAAGAAAAGAAGCACATGAGAGCTTAGGGAATTCAATTGGATACTACAGGGGAAATAAATAAACAAACGTACATACATAATTGTTTAAAATTTAAACCAAAGAAACAAAAAATGTTTTTTCCCCCACATCTAATTTGTTAACTATGGGCTATGTGGTAACTTATCAACATTTTATTAGGAAATACTTTTTTTTTTTTTTTTTTAATTTTTTTTTTCAACGTTTATTTATTTTTGGGACAGAGAGAGACAGAGCATGAACGGGCGAGGGGCAGAGAGAGAGGGAGACACAGAATCGGAAACAGGCTCCAGGCTCTGAGCCATCAGCCCAGAGCCCGACGCGGGGCTCGAACTCACGGACCGCGAGATCGTGACCTGGCTGAAGTCGGACGCTTAACCGACTGCGCCACCCAGGCGCCCCAGGAAATACTTTTTAAGAATATTACCTGGTTTGGATTTATTGTTTTTACCAGAAAATACAGTCACTGTTTTTATTAGTTCTTCTTTATAACTATTCCACATTCTTGATTTGAATTGAAATTTTCATCAGATAAGCCCTGTATGATTCTGGATGTATTTTTATACTTAAAAATATTTAAATATACACCAAACATCATATATTAGTTGTACTGAATCAAAGCTTCGATATGACAAAACTTCATGGTGAAAATACAGAGATATTTTAATAATGTATTGCCAATATGGTGAATAATCTCGTTTGAAAGTTAAAATTGCATATTTACATTTTAATAACTATTTCTCACATACAGTCATGTAATAAATACTGAATCAGGAATTTTGGCTTACCAAATTATTTTATTTTTGAGAAAATATTAAGAATATAATGTCTTAGAATTAAGCTGATAGCTATTAACATGTACGATCTAATTTTTAATAAATGTTTTGGTTCTCTGGTAGTTAAATCTCAAATTATACTATGGATCATTCTATTATGAAACAGATTAATATATCAGGTATCCAAGGTTTACATTTTCCATAATACATTATATATTACCTCCAAAATTTTAATAGGTAGCACTGTATTATAAGTAGCATATTTGAAAGTATATTTTGTTATTGTATAAGGAATTATGATTTAAAATATTTTAGACCTTTTTTATTTATTATTATTATTATTTTTTTAAGTTTTTAATTCCATATAGTTAATATACAGTGTGATATTAGTTGCAGGTGCACAACAGTGTGATTCAACACTTCCATACAATAGCTGATGCTCACCACAACTTACAAAAATCATATGAATATTATAAATATAGGTCACTCGGAATATATCAGAACTGCCCTATATATAACCATATATAACCGTTATTCTAGGGCTACCCAGATCTAAAAATGTTGCTAACCACTCTCTCAGGCATACAGGATTGTCCCTTCCTTATTTTGTAGTGAACATCAGAAATTGAAAAGTCATTCCCAGCATCCCCAAATACCTATGGGCCTGAGGTCAGAAATATGATAAGAGTGATTTATTTCAAGGTAATTTGAAAATACAATTTTTTATATTCTTTAAAAAATTTTTTAATGTTTATTTATTTTTGAGAGAGAGAGACAGAAAGACAGAGTGTGAGTGGGGGAGGGGCAGAAAGAGAGGGAGACACAGAAGCAGAAGCAGGCTCCAGGCTCTGAGCTGTCAACACAGAGCCCCACGCGGGGCTCGAACTCACAAGCTGTGAGATCATGACCTGAGGCGAAGTCGGACGCCCAACCGACTGAGCAACCCAGGCACCCTGTATTTTTTGTATTCTTAAAAATACAATTTTTAAAGTGACAAAATCTGAAAGAAGAAAAAAAAAGAAAAGAGAAAAATGATGGTAATGTCGGTTCAAATCAGGAGTAGCAAATAGGTGGCCCACAGCCCCAAAATGTATCTTGCTTAGCTTCCATATGTGTTAGAAGAGTTAATTCTGCATTAATATCTACATAGATATTCCAGTTTGCAAGGGCCCCACTACTACCTGTTGTTTTAAACTTGGGCTGCCTCACTTAATTTGAAAAAAGTGAGTTATATTCCTTGATGTCATACATTTGCAAAGCATTGGTTTAAAGAAAATTAATTCATAATTCAGTGAATTATACCATTTCAAAATAAAATGACTTTCTATTAAAATGTGTTTTTTTCCTTGATTACATTATCTATTTACTGAGGGATCACATAAAAATATATTTTAAAGAGGTAAAATAAAACAAAATAAGATGGACAGCTTTTTGTCAACATCCTTCTAGCTCTTTCTTTCCTCTTAATGCCCCTTAGCCACATCCATTTCACAGAGCTATTTTGTGCCATTTTGCCTGTGTCTCCATAAAAATTACCCATCTTAGGCAGGTTCTTCCATGGCTAAATCTATGTTTTGAAAAATGTTATGTTTATTTATTTTTGAGAGAAAGGGAGGGGGCGTACAGAAAGAGGAAGACAGAAGACCCAAATTAGGTTCACTGCTGTCAGCACAGAGCCCGATTCGGGGTTCAAACTCACAAACACTGGGATCATGACCTGAGCTGAAATCAACAGCTGCTTAACTGACTGAGCCACCCCAGGTGCCCCAAAATCCATGTTATAATACCCAGTATTTTTTTTTCTTTCTCCCCTTCATACCTCTGATTTTTCCTGTTCTTCCTATCATCTTCTTTTTCCTCTGTAAATTTAAAGGAATACATATTCTGGTGGGAGGAAATGTGTGTGTGTGTGTGTGTGTGTGTGTGTGTGTGTGTGTGTGTAATAGATGGGATAAAATAATGATTTGTTTTAAGTCACTGAAAATAGTGCTTCACCTACCTACAAATAAACACTCTTAAAAACCTACCATTAAAAATAAAGGAAAGAAAGGCTAATTCTAACATTAGAACATAGAAGCCACATCTCATTACATTTTCTCATTTGCTACCATTATGACTTATAAAAATATAAATGAATTCATCAGATGTGGGGGTGTTTTGTGAAAATAACGGGGTTGGCTTTGATATTCGGGGCAGGATAAAGTCAGTAAATAATCAAGGTTGCATACTGAGTTATTTCATTACTATGTCAGATTTTAAGTTGGACTACTCTACAGGAATTGCTGCGGCTGAGTGAACTCACTGTCATAGCAATAACCGTGCAGGCAAGGGCTGGAACTGCACTCATTGACATTGATCTCACAGTGTGGACCTGCAAAGCCTTTCCCACATGGACACTGGTACCCAAGAGGAGACATTTCCAGATCCATT